GCGGTTTTCAGCGTGTCCTCCGGACGGCTATAGGCTGCCACAGGATGTGCTTAAGCAAACAAAACTACTTTTCCTCCTCCCCATCCCCCCACTCGCGCCGCAGCCCTCCGCGGACGTCGGTGGAGGATTGGGGCAACTTTGCCAGGGCGCCCCGTACCCCCGTGGGCCGCTGGGTGGGCTCCCTAGAAGCCTCAGAGAAGGGCGCGCGGTACATTTGCATGTATGCAAATTTCCTCTAAAAAAAAATCAGACCTTCTAGGTAACTTTTCCCCCCTTCCTCTAAAATGCAGTAAAGCTCAAAGCACTGTAATCTCTCCTGCGAAGCTTTCTGTGGGAATAGTGTCTTCGGCGGAGGTAATTATGCACAAAAGCCTGCTAACTTTGTGCAGCCACGGCCCTATAGCAGTCACTATCCGGGTGCTGGGGAATATAGTAAGATCACCCCAAAGACACCCCAGATTGCGGGGGATGGGGATCTGGAGAAAGGAAGGCGGAGAGTCAGGAGCGGCCGCTCTTCTCTTCTAGAAGTCGGAGCTGGTGGGTTTGAATACAAACGCCCCCAAAAAGTTCTGTCACGTCAGAAACAACAGTGGTTTGTTGAGCTGGGACATCTTTCTGTGTGTGGAGAAGGAAACTGTGAAAGGGTTGTCCCCTTAGGAAAGGGATATGTTTGTATTCCCGAATGGGAGCCCAGAACTGGACATGGGTTAACGTACGAGTTTGCGTTCCCCAGACCCCTCTAGAAGGGTGAGTTTTGCGGATCCCCAATCTCCCACACACACACCGGTAATATTTCTGAAAATGGAAAAAGGCTTCCTGCAATTATTTTAGGTTTGCTAAAGTATTGTTTTGGCGCGCGGGAGGGGGGGCGGTTTTAGGGTTTGGCACGTTGCCAACAAGCCTGCTCTTCCAGCTTTTTTCTCTTTCTTTCTTTTTTTTTTAAACTTCATATTTTCTCTCTAGACTCTTTTCTCCTGGAGGGAAAAAAAATCGTATACCTGTCTCCTCCAGACTCTCCTTTTCTCCTCTTCTCCTTCCTGAAGTTTTGCAGCCTTCTATATTTCCCAACCCTTCTCAGAAATCCTCAGATCCCGACACTGGCACCCAGGTCAGGGATCTGCTCCCTGGTGGAGGTGACAAGGCTGGAGTCTGCAGGCAGCCCACGGGACAGAAGGGTGACTGATGGAGTATTGGGCACTTTTCATTCACATTTTTTTTTTTTTTTTTTTTGGAAGGGGCAAGAATGCTACCAGAGAAGGCCAGCTAAAACGTTCTGCAGCAGCCTGCATCTCTAAAGTTGTATTTGTTCTCTAGTCCGGTTGGGGCTATAGTATTTGCTCCAGTACTCAAGAATCCATTCTTTCCCACCCACTCCCTGCTCTTGCATGTTCTTGGAAACCTGTCCCATTACTTATTAAGGATTGAAGGAAAAATAATAACTTCAGCCTTTAGTTAGGACGTCCATTTCGCCAAACTAAGCAACTGCCTTTCCTTGGTCCCTCATGTCTTTCAGTAAGGAAGAAATGTCCTCCAAGCTAAGAGGAGTTAGAAAAACATTCCTGGCCACGAAACCCTTTGCTGGGATCTATAACTTCAAGACTCTCCAAGTTTCCTCGACAGAAGTTTCTGGCTGAGGGACCCAACATGTAACTGAGGCACAGTGACAAGTTATTGCCCCGTGTGTGCTCGGGGGAATCTCTCTTCCAAAGCGGATTTATTATTTTTATTAGTATAAAGATACACTTCACATCTGTCTGTTTTCTTACTTTTGATTCTCAAGGGGAATTTAAAAAAAAATAGCTGGCTTCCGCCATGCCTTTTTTTTTTTTTAAATTGGGGAAAGTAATTGAATGCTGATATTTCCACTTTAGAAACTTCTTTTGTTGCAGCAGTGGATGTGCCTGCGATTTCCAGCATTCTGCGGTTAGCAATATTATCTTAAGTAACTTTTGGCGCCCTTCGTAAGACTTTTGGATATGGGACGATTGTTTGCGCCCTCTAGGCAAGGGCTGGATCCAAGTTCAGCACCAAAGCCCTCCACATCCGCTCCTGCTTTCCCTCCTATCTGTGCCAGCTCCCGCTCCCTCCCCCGCTCCGGAGGAGGGTGGAAGGCGGGGGAACACTACAAAGCCCAGTTCCAACTACAGCCTTTACAAACTAAACTGAGAAAAAATACTGTAGAAGAGTTACAGTTACAGAATGGCTTCTGGTAACTTTCTCTCCAACAGGCATAAATTTAAACACACAAAGAAACAGATGTTCCCGAGCCGACAGACAGGGTAAAAAGCATGTCTAACTTTCTCCCCTCTTCTAGGTTGCAAAAGTAAATCCTTGTCTAGAGTTCACAAAGATACTAAGGGAGGGGGGGGAAGGAAGGACAGGGAAAGAGGGGGGAGGGAGGGGAGGGGCAAAGAGAAGGGAAAAGAGAGTGTAGGAAACACAGGTGATGTATGAAAACTGGTTTATTGCAATCATATAAATGACCCATTGTTAGGAAGGGTAAACCCCTTATTGGAAACATTACTCCAGTCATTTATTTTGCAAGTGGTAGGAGGCTGCCTTGAAACTGGATTGTCTTTGCAAAAAGGAGGTTCCTGCCTTGCTCTCTGCTATCCATATTCTCCCTGGCACAGAGCCCAGCCTTGCATTTACTGTTTTATTTGCAGAAACGTTACCTTGCCAGCTTTAGTGAAATCCTCTTAGATGTATAAATTACGTCAATAAAGTTTCACTTCTACATACATCCGAAATACCTCTTGTTTCTAGTCTACTTAATTGGGAAATTGTATTAATGTGATTTAGATTTTAATGCCCAACATAATGAAGACGGGACTGGGATTCCTACGTGACAATACCATTTGCTCTATAGTTAGTACCAAGACTAGCTCTACTAACTAGCATTTCCCAGCATCTCCTTCACTAGTTTCTGACTTGCTGGTAACTCCTGTGCAGACTTCTCTAGCTTGCATATAATCCCCAGTTGAATCATGTTGCTGAATTGAGGATCCAAGTGAACTGTCACATCAACTTTCCAAACCAAGTTTGACCACAAGGCCCAAGGCCTAGGGAAATAGTTGGATGAGTATTAAATTCACATTTTAAAAAAAGTAAGGAGTCCATATTATTTTCCACTCATTCCCTACAGAATTAGGAGGTAGTTGATATATTTGAGTCAGAGGCCGCAGGTTACATATCCAAGACAAACTAAGGTAGTTGATTTCCACCTTACAGATGACAAGAGGCCAGACAGCAGCTAATGGGGACAGTGGGTTATCTGCCACACATGTACCTCCAGTAAAGTTGTTGTGAACTTGGTGGCTCTTAAAATGCTCTTTGCTACCGACCATCATTTGAAACAGTAGAATTCAAGAAAATCTACTCCCTTCCTCCTTTTCAATCTATAGAGCAGCTGTCTTTCCACCAATGAAGCGTCCTCTCCCTTTGATATGCCAAAGACTCTCAAAGAACCAGTGAGAAGCTTTGTAATACTCAGTGATTCCCCAAATTGAGGCATATTTCTCAAAGAAGTTAAACCTCTCCTTCTACAAGTTACCAACTTCCCTGAGTATTAGAAACAACAGCCAATGCAAGGTTAAATAGCACTCTAGCAGAGTTTTCCAAAAGAGCAAAGTTAAAAGGCACACAGGATTCATGCAAAAATCCCCCAAACAGCTTTTTTTCTCCTTTAAACTCAAAAAAAAATCTTTCCTATTGTGATTGCTAAATCCGGAAGCACTGGTATCTTTGACAGCTTGAACTACAAACACACCATCCCCTTCAGAACTGCAGAGAACTTCAGATCTCCTTTGCCCCGCCCCCTAAGGCTATTCCGAGCCATTGTACACCCAAGCTTTCTCATGATTGGATAGAGCTTCTGTCAATCTCATATGTTGTCTCATTGATTAGAGGATCGAATCGTCAATTATTCTCGGGTCCAGACAGTTCTTTTCGGGTTAGGTTGACTGCAGAGGCCAGACGTCTTTAACAGAGCAGAGCACGTACAGGATCTCCCCCTCCCCCCTCCCCCTTTTCTGGAACCGAGCAAGCGCTAGGAGGAAAAAAATCTGTTAAGCTCAGCAATTTTTTCAAATCCTGGAAAAAAAAAAAGAAAGAAAGAAAAAGAAACCCGGTCTCTCTGCTACACATAATACAAACGCCATCCACAAAGCTGTATCTTTAAAAGAAAACCATCACAATAGACATTTACCCAGCAATCACTTAAGTGCATATTCGAGCTAGAGAAATTTTAAAGTCTTAGCCATTAAGCATAACCATTCTACCGTTGTTTATATAACCCATATAGTATAAATGTAAAATAGAAAGTTTAAGATGTACCACGTACCATTGCAATGTAAAAAGAGTACGTGAGAAACTTTAAAATGCTCAGACGAATTGCTTCATAGCTTGTCCCCTGTTTTTTGTATTAAAAAAAAATAGCCAAATAAACTTGGAACCGTTGAAAACCCGGAAGAGATTTTTTTAAAGCTGCTGGCCAATTGCAGGCTTCTTGGATATTTTTTTAAACTCCAAATCAAAAGGCTTCTGCCACTGCAGAACACACACTCTCTCTCTCTCTCTCTCTCTCTCTCTCTCTCTCTCTCTCTCTCTCCCCTCTCTCTCTCTTTCTCTCTCTCACACACAATCTCTCCGTCTCTCGCAGTCTCTCTCTTTCTCTCTCTCCTCTCTGAAAGCGATCCAATCTAACCCGGGCTGGCTGCTTCTCAGATTCTCTCTGGATTTGCTTGGTGTGCTTGTAAGAGACTTTGCAGAAGTTGCGATCCTTTCGGCAGCCCCTCTCGCCTTTCCCTACCCCCTTGTTTATTTCCGCAATCGCTGCAATTTGCATAGTAACCACGCACGAGGCGGAGGGGCCGGAGGGGGCAGGGACAGGCTCGGGCCTCCCCTCCTCCCGCTCGGCGCAGTCTCCTCCTCCCCCACAGCGCGTGGCCAATGGGAGCCCTGGCCTTCAGCGCAAGCTCGGGTCGGGGCTCTTAGCTGCAGGACGGTCCCTGGCTCTGTAGGCCCGGCTCCTGGGATCCGGCTTTTGGCGCAGGGGAAGTTTTCCTGTTTGCGGAGCTCGCAGCAGGCTTTTGGAGATGAGAAGATTATGGAACGTTTACCCACAGTCATGCCGGTTTTGCATGTTTTAATCACGTCTGCACACCTGCTTTCTTGGTTTCTTTTTCCAGAGCCTCTCGTGAGTTATTAGATAAGTTCATGAATGGTTAGTGAGAGACTTAACCTTTATTTGCACTGATGTAGACGGGGAGTTAAAGATCCTCTCTGGTCCATTAAATCAAGGCGGAGCAAAATGTCAGAGAACTTCAGTTTGATAAGGCTTTCGTCCTGGGTTTAGAACAGGAGAGTGGCCCTGCTCTCTCTAGATGACTGAATACAGAGCTAGGTGGGCTCCACCAAGAATGCAGTTTCTTTAAAGCATTGATGCTTTAACAACATTCTAGTTGGATTGACACACTCCTGATTTATCAATATTCATGCAAAACTCTGGATACAAAGCCTAAAGCAATCCCTCCCCTTCTTACCCCCAAAAAATGAGCTGAAGGAGTGGCGACTGGGGGAGGGGCATTAACGGGGTAAGAACTCCTCCTTCCCTTGACCTTCTTATTTCCCTAACCCAGACTCTTTATGACCATGTCATCTGAATATTTCGCTGTCAAACTTGTTTTTTTGTATTTGTTTTAAGCATCAAAATACCCTTTGGTGCAGAGCATTAAAAGGAGTATCTCTTTAAATGGAAACAAACCATCACTACTAGGCTTGCAGTTTTGGTGACTGTTATTGTTGTTGTTATTTTTTAATATGTTTGCTTTGTGTCCCTTAAGAAATTTAGGATATTTTGCGAAATAAAAGAATTACTGGAAATTGTGTACTTAGCTCAACTGATTAAAAAAAAAATGTTATCAGGCCAAGACAACTGACAAACAAAGAAACATCCTGGTCCCCTGATTTCCATAACTGTCCTTGGTGAAAAGAGCTAATCGATTAGTAAGACCCTTTACAGCTAAAATAATGGCTCGAGGAGTCTCACATTTTATTTTGAATTATAAGTTTTGCTTCAGTAGTACACTTAGCAACTAGTCAGCTGATACAACTTTGCTGGGAGGGATCTTACTGTGTCTGTCCTTGGTATTAGACAAGCTTTGGCTGTTCTGGCTTGCTGTTCACAGACTAGGATAAGCTTTTACTCTTCACAGCCTGTGGCATTTAATTCAATCCTTGTCTACCCAGCATCCACTTCTGCTTGACGTACCTACTCTCACCCAGAAAGAAACTAAATAGAATGGGATAGGTAATACTGATGTTGATGGTGACGATAAAGAACAGTGTGAGTAATAAAAACATCCTAGGCCTCCTTCAGCTGGTCCCAGGCTCTGTTGCCTTCAGACAGTTCTAATACCACCTATAAAAAAGGACACTGACCTGTTGTGAGAATGAAAAACCATTTTGGCAAGGATCAAGAACCTCAGGTAAGACCAGGAGATTCCCACTGCACTGCCATGGTCTGAAAAACCCACACTGCCGAGCAAGCCAGACCTGATTAGTAGTTGGCAGCAGTAGGTTTTCTCTGTAGTAGCTGTCGTTCATTATCCTGATTTAATGTGGTAGGTCGATGCCATTACTAAAGTGATCTTGTGTGTGTCCCATATTCAACAGCATACTGTGCATTTCAGAGGTCATCTTAGGTTCTAATATTGGTCATAGCATGTGACTTTATACAAACTGTTTGGCCTCTGAAAGCATTAGCTTCTTCATTTGGAAGATGAGAAACATTTATGTAGTGTGTGTAAATTGGCTTCATCACAGTGAGCCATGTTCTAAGCACATTGATATGACAGTATGATATATATGTATGTATGCCTACACATATATACATACTTACATGTAACCATATTGACCAAGTCTACATGACTATGCCAGTAGAGTCATGAGCGCTGGGAAAGAGCTGATGACATTTGTGGTGAACCAAACGTATACATTTGTCAGGCAAGGGGAAAACAGGTCATCCCTCTCCAGGTAATGTATAAAAGGGACTGATGGTGGCTAATTAGGTTGTATTTGACTTGCTTTATAGTCACTGGAGGACAAGGTACAGCATCAGGCTAAGACAAGATTGTAGAGAGGCTCATGAGCAATTTTAGCTTCATTTGAAAGATTGGGAAGTCATCAAAGGTATTTAGCAAAAGAAAGAAAAGAAATGAAATAAAATTTGCTGATGAGGAAACTCACTTTAGTAAAGAAGCTAGAGAGAGAGAGAGAGAGAGAGAGAGAGAGAGAGAGAGAGAGAGAGAGAACAAGCATGCACTTTGTGGCTGGAGAAGGTGAAGACCTGAGCTATAGCTCAGCTGCAAACCATGAGAAGAAGGTTCCATAGAGGATGGGGTTAGGTTTAGATATGGAGTGTTCTGCTAAGTTCCCCCAGTGATGCTATTTTGGAAGGTTCTTGATGGAGATGAGGCCTAGATTTAGGGAAACAAATTACTGGAGGGGTATTCTTGTGGCTATGTCTTACCCTAGACTCCTCTTTTTCTGTGCCCTGGGCATCATGAGGTGAGTAGCTTCTTCCTGGTACCCCCCATCCTCAGTCCCACTCTTACCACCCCAAACCCCTCCCAGTCCTCAGCCCTGCCCTGGAATGTTGGTCATTAACTTCTGCTTTATCGCAGGCTCAGAATCAGAACCCAGGCCCGTGGGATGAAAGCTCAGAAACTATGAACCAAAATAAATTACATTTTAAAGTCGTTCTCTCTGGTGTTTTGGGTCACAGTCAGAGAAAGCTAACACAGTGGTACAGAGATAAGAAAGGAGAGACCACTGATAACAGTTTTCAAGGCATTTGATCAATGGGTACAATTCAGAAATAAAGCTTTTCCAGACATTGTTTGGTGTCCAAGTGCCCACTTATAAAAGTAGAGGAGGCTATCTCTGCTCACAAATGACACTTCAATCATGCCCTTCCACCTAATAATTGGTTAAATAATAGAAAAATGACACCAGTAATAGATAGTACTCATATATTTAGTGTTTATACCTGATTGGTTTGTCCTAAATCTTGAATTTGCATCCAAGTAATTCTGTTCCACCACATCAAAAAGCAGGTGCTCATCAAGACGGTGGCTCGGAGTTGCTAACCTCATTGTGAGCCTGAGGTTCCACGGAGTTTGGCTTGACACCTTGAAAATAGTCAGCTCTTCCAGGAATTCTGCTTGGTTGACCCAGATAGAACCCGAATCTTCTCGCAAGACATTGACATAGAAACTAGAACACCAGAGCCTGACAGAATTCGAGATGCAATTCAAAATTGCAGTACGTTTTGATAATCAGTTCTCTGTGATTGTGAACAAGATGGAGCGTTGAAACAAAAATGTATGTTTCTGTTTTCTCAATTTCCCTGTGTAGGTCCTAGATCAACCGATGAATTTTCAAAGCAAGCTAATTACCATGGGCATTCACTAGATGAAGATAATAAATGATAACTTTTATAAGCAAAATTAAATATAGGAATTGATAAGTCCCCTACATAAGTAAGTTTGGACACATATTTTCCCTTCTCCATCCCCCTCTGTCTTGTTGTCTTGTATATATAGGTGAACAGTTTAGAGTCTGGAGTTGGTACTTACCACCTCTCCTCTTGGGGAGTTGGTATGTGACTTGTGATTGAGTTTTCAATGACAATTCTTACATCACTTGTTTAAAGGAAATTTTCCTTGATATGGCCCTTCTCAAAGGCAAAAGAGAGGCCTTAACTTCAAGCAGAAGGCCTAGGACAACGCCCAGGAGGCAAGAGATCAGCAAGATGGAAGGATGTGAATCTCCAAATGACTTGGTGTGACAGGGCCACTTTTTCAATGCAGGTTCTATTTAAGCCTCGGTGCATTGACATTACTGATGTACTAATAACCAGTAGTAACAAAATATGAAAATTCCTTTTCCTTACTATCTCTTAGAAACCCCGCTGGCTTTCCCCAACTTAGTATTTAATATTGAATGTTATTGTCTACCTTCTTTTTCAGATTCTCCTTTTGTTCATTCTCTCCCTCTTGCTTTCTCATCCTTACCACAAGCAATGCATTGTTTTTCTTCTCTTTTTATTTTCTTTTATTGCTTCTGTGTGTGTGTGTGAGCACGCGTGCACGTGCACACGCACACATGTGCGTGCACATTCCATCTTGCCCAGAAGTTCCTGGTGTTCTTCTCCCTATTCCATTCCTTTTCAACAGCTAACTTAATGCTCCTTCTCACTCTTGTCAGGCAGAATTGATCAAAAGCTCCTTTACTCTCCACCGTCTTACACTCATCTAAAGCTCTATATGCTAAATAGCAGTTATTTATATATACTGAAGAGATGAACACTCATCTTGTATATGTCTCTGCAACGTGCCCATAGCCAACCCTTAATAGATAGCTGTAAGTGTGTGGGTAAATACAGAAAGGGGCTACCTTTTCCAGCCTCAATACTCTGGTCGTAAACAAAAGCAGGTGTGTGCTGTTGCTAGAGAGGGTATTGTCGTAAGGTAGAGTTGTGACATGAGGAGAGGCTCTGAATGTGCCATTCACAGGATACCATGCTGGTCACCTTTACCCTTCTTGCTGAATAAGTGCCATTCTCACGACATAGATGAGAACACTAAGGCGTATCAAACTGTGGGGAGATAATCGAGCACCCATATATTTAGTCAGTGGATAGAAGAGCCAGTTCACTTAGAATTTTTCTTCAAAGCTCTGGTCTGTGATGTCGCCTTTAGGAAGGAATAGGGACTTCGAATTTCTTAAAGTATCATTTTTGTGGGTACAGCCTGTAATCATGACCAAAAGCAAACACGTGGTCCCCTCCTTCTCGTCTTGGACACAACACAACAAGTACAAGAGACTGAACAGAGAGTCATCTAAATGAGCTGCCGGGCTCACCAGGGAGGAGAGAACAGAAAGGGACCTCACGAGAATCCAGCCACCACATTCTACGAATGACCAAACCGAAGCTGGCAGAGCTAAGGAGCTGGCAGCACAGCTGGTAGAGAATCAGCCCCTATCCCAGTGCCAGGGTTATTACGTCATGCAGAGGCTGCTCTGCAGGAACAGGGAAGGAGCACATGACCCTGCCTACTACCAAAGTCCGAAAGAAGCCCGGGGATAGAGACAGACTGTTGACCCTGATGGAAGATAGAAAACCATGTATTGTTGGAACAGAGTCCAGGCGAGAACTTAGAGTTGTACTACGTGGGTAGACACTAAAGGATAATTTTCAGGACACTAAAGGAGAGTGAAGGCAAGAGCCTGAGATGAGAATGTTCTGTTGAGAGATACGGACTCTGCTCTCTTCCATTGGTGACTTTGGACAGGTCAATTTCTTTGGCAAGGCCCTCTGGCTTCCTCCTCTGTGAAACAAAAATATCATCAGCCTTACTTTCTTCCTAAGATTTGAGGAGGACTCAGTGAAATCATGAGTGAGAAGCTGGAAAACAAAAACAAATCCCGAGATTCGGCTCCGTGGGGCCCTGGACTACCAAGAGCTGTTAGTCTCTAGAGGCCTCTGAGAGCAAAGAACAATGCTACTTAGTCATGTTCATCTCGCCTACATTTTCTAGATTCTAGAATCAGGTGTATAACACACGCACGCACATACACAATAAAAATAAGTGAAAATAAGACAATATCTAAAGTCCATGTAATGAGAGCTTTATTAAGGCAGATTTAAAATTTTTGACTTTGAAGGCTGGGGAGACGGCTCAATAGGTTGCATGCACAAGGACCTGAGTTTGAATCTCCATCACCAAAATGGTGGTTGTGGACTTATGTGACTATAACCCCAGCACTGGAGGTATGGGGGAGTGGCAAGTATATTCTGGGAGCTCCCTGGCCAGCCAGCCTAGCTGATATCCTCCTCTGCCCTTTGCATTTGCACACCTGCACACACATCTACACACACACACACACATACACACACACACACACACACACACAGAGAGAGAGAGAGAGAGAGAGAGAGAGAGAGAGAGAGGGGAGACACATGAGAATGATTTTTGCCTTGAGCTTCTTAATAATCAAAGAGAAAAGGGTAAAGCTCATGTAATATACAATATCCATAAAATATTACAAAAGTCTAGAGTGGCTTTCCAAAAGCAACACAGATTTTCAGATGTTGGAAAAGTTTGGCGCAGACCTCCCGCCACATCCTCTGCCTCTGCTGCACTATGTACCAGTGTGGTCATAGAGAGGTGGCTTCACTGTAATGCTCTGGGTGTGGGAAAAGGAATAAGGGAGTGGGATGGATGGGGACCTTGTTCAATCCCTCTTCAGCCATTGGCCAAGTGCCTGGTCATGGTGAGGCAGAATTTTCCTAGTTTAATCTGTAAGAGCAGACCATCAGAAACAAGAAAATAAGAGCCCAGCTGGGGTCTGGCACCTCTGACTGTAACATGAGGGGGCCCTGCTTGTTTGTGTTTCCTGTCCTGCTCGGTTCCCCCAGCCGGCAGGCCCCAGAGAAAATGAACCACAAAGAGATTTCTGTAAGTTATAATGCTGATTGGCCTGTTAGGTCAGGCTTCTTACTGGCTAACTCTCACATCTTGATTAACCCATTTTTCTGATCTATGTTAGCCATGTGGCTCAGTACCTTTTTCAGTGGGGCAGCTCACATCCTGCTGCTTCGGTGATCTGGGCAGGAGTGGGAGGAATCAACTTCCTCCTCCCCAGAATTCTCCTGCTCTCCTTGCATCATTTCCACTTCCTGTCTGGTTTTCCCACGTACACTTCCTGCCTGGCCAATCACCGTTTATTTAAAACATGATTGACAGAATACAGACAATTCTCCCGCACCACTTCCCCCTCTTTTTTTTAAAAAACAAACAACAAACAAACAAACAAAGGAAAATATCCATAGTCCATTTTTTGGGAATGGGGACCCATACACATTCATGATGATATTAAGAACACGTTACAACTCATCAAAAAGTAGAAAGAGAGGACGTGGGGTCTGGGACCAAGTTGGCATGGGTGTTGGCTCTGAGTCCCTTTGCCAGCCTGGGCCCGAGAACTCTAACAAGCAGTGCTGTTGAGCTGGAATTGTTGTTCTTGTTCTTACGTGAATCAAGCAGTGTCGCTGGAAGTCAGTCTCAAAGCTCAGCTAGTAGCAGTGGAGAGTCACTAAGAGACACCAAGGGTTGGTATCAAGTCCAGATTTTTTTATCTAGAAAAATCACCATGGAGGCAGTATGGAGAATGATTTTGGAGCTTTAGTTACAAGCCACGTATCATTTTCCTCCTTCATTATATTACTTTCCCTTTTAAATTTTTGTTAATAATTTAAAAAGTTGCTGGGCAGTGGTACCGCACACCTATAATCCCAGCTCTTGGGAGGCAGAGGCAGGTAGAGTTCTCTGAGTTCCAGGTCAGCCTGGTCTATAAAGTGAGTTCCAGGACAGTCAGAGCTGTTACACAGAAAAACCCTGTCAAAAAAAACAAAACAAAACAAAACAAAACAAAACAAAAAACAAACAAACAAACAAGATCTCATATATTCCAGCTTAGCCTTGAACTTTCTTCGTAGTTAATGAGTGTTGAATTTTTTTATCTTCCTGTAGCTATCTTTATAATCCTGGGATTCCAGACTTGTGATCAGTTTATGCTCAGTTTCTGGGATTCTGGGGATTGAACCTAAGGCTTTGGAGGTTACATGAGCACACTACCAGCTGAGCTGCACTCTTGGCCCTCCAAAAAAAAAAAGAAGTAGGAAACTTGGTCAAAATGACCCAGACACTGACCTGGAGCAAAAGATACTTAGTATACAGCTTGATTAAGAAGTCCTATGCTGTACATCTCTGCACATTCATTTTGTTACATTTAAAAAATGTTCTGCCATGTAGCTCAATGGTTGATGGCTTGCCTGGCATGTACAAGGCCCTGGGTTCTATCTCTCTGTCTGTCCATCTGTCCATCTCTGCCTCTCTGCTTCTCTGTCTCTTTCTCATACACAAACACACAAAAATGTCATATATAATTTCTATATTTGTGGAATAGCTTCAGAAAATAAATATTTCATTAAATGAAATTTTTTTCCTTAATGGAGGCAGTTTAATTCCGACTTCGCAACTTATTTTTTTTAAATCTCGTGTTGAAGCCAGTGGTGGTGCTGCATGTCTGTAATCCTGGCTCTTGGGAAAGAGGCTAAGGGAGGACGATCACAAATTTAAGGCTAGTGTTGCCTGAGAGAGAGAGAATTCCAACCAGCATGGAGTAGATAGTCAGCTCCTATCTCAAACTGAAGGAATAGGTAGCACTGTGTATAAAACCATAAAACAAATAGTGATGCTGCTGCCGCTTTCATTTGCCCCGCCTCTCTTTACTCTGAACATTATAAACATGTTGCATCCACAGAATTTTGCAACAAGAAAAATAGTGAGTGATCCTAGTATCCCCTGCTTTCAATAGGCCAAGAACCAACTTTTTTTTTTTTAACTCTCAAAAATGAGTTATTGGGGGAAATAGTCCCGGTTTTAGTATGCAGAAGTCCTTACTGTGGTGCGGATATTAGGAGTCATCTCATCAGTGAAATGAAGCTGGAAAGAACAGCATTTACCTTCAGAACACTTTGTTATTTGGCATCGCATTTGCTTTGTGTTTACTGAGGAAAGAAAACCAAAAGAGAGCGAGAGGAGCCAGTTACAAAGAGGCCTCAGTGTGACCAGCATGCTTGCAGTGACTGCTAGCTGAAGCAGGGTCGGATTAAGAATTGAAAAATTAAGTTTCTCATGTCCTTGGTATGTGCATTGTATAGTGAAAACAGAAGTTTTTAAAGAAGCCAAAAAGTGGTGTGTAATTCTGGTCTCAACAATATTCCTATGAATTTGATAGCCCTTCCTAGAGAAATCATATTGACAATTCATCAGACATATTGTACTTTGTCATGAGACAGCCACTATAAACAGTTTAAAAAGTATTTCTTTTATGTGCATGTGGGTGTTTTGCTTGCATGTTTGTCTGTGCATCGTGTCGGTATCTGGTACCCATGGAGGCCAGAAGAGAGTGTGGGATTCTTGAGACTCGAGTCAGAGATGGTTGTGAGCCACTATGTGGGTGCTAGCAATTGAACCCAGGTCCTCTGGAAGATGAACCAGCGCACTGAACTGCTGAGCCATCTCTCCAGCCCTAAGAACGAAACATGTTTAGCTGTGACACTGTGGAACCATGTGTACCATCCCTGACTGCTATGAAAATTTACATTCCCTCTCAAATTTTTTTTACAACACTCAACTATGAAATAAATTCAAGTTTGGAAATATTTCCTGAAATCCCTTCATATGCTAGATTACATTAGGGTCTGGGGATACAGGCAGGATGAATAAGGCATGACCTCATCTTTACACAGTAAGCAGTTTGAGGCATTGTTGGGTTATCTTATCATCCATAAGGCTACCAGTATCGTAACTCTCTAGATCAGAGACACATATAACATGTGAGATTGCTCCAAATAGCGAGCCGCATTAGACGAAGACGTCTTCATCTCTAACGCTTTATTAGTGATCCTCTTTTGAAACTCTCATTGCACAGCATGCAGTGGACGAAACTGAAAACGCCATGTAAATATCCAACAGTGTACTGTATTACTAGTGGCCTAAAGTCTTCAGCTTCTATTGGTCAGAATTTGAGGTGACGGCTGCATTTTATGTTGCAGATAATCAAAGCATGTTGTAATATCAAGTGGTACTTAGAATACTGCCTGAGTCTTTTAAGGTTTTTGTAGCATGTGCAGAGTAGAGTTTTTCTTAGTAGATAACATTTACAGAGATACTTATTGATTCCTAAGCTAAATGTTTTTGATTGGAGAAGCTTTGAAGAACTTCACCTTCCTTTCTTAATGTTTTTCTTTCAAAGCCAAACACGACCTACAGTTGTACAGTCTCCTGCAGTGCTTTGATGTTGTCACTAGGCCATCCTAGTCATTTCACTGTGCTCAAAACTTTCCTTTGAGGGACGTCCCATCATCACCAGACTGCTGTAAGTTGTCTCGGAGTGTAAGTTCAATGGCTACAGCCCCTTTCTTTCTCACAGTGGGGATTGGATTCTATGTTGAAAGTTAAAAAGCACTTCAGTGATGGTTAGAACAGTCCCAGTAAAATAAATTTGAAGATTTCTTTTTAACCATAGTATTTTTATACTACTTAAAAAAAAACAACTGAGAAACACTATAATTGCCAGGATAGTGTTTATTGACTTCATGGAATTGTCATGAATTTTCCCTAACCAAAAGCTTTCCAGTACACTGTGAATCTTGCTAGACTTGTCCCACAGTGAGAAAGTTTGCTTTGTGGGTTTTTTTTTAAAAATTCTTAAAAATTTTTTAAAAGTTAGTTTTCCTAACTGGCTGGGAGCTTCACAGTAGTGAATTTTTTCTATAATGAACAATATGAGATATATATATACACACAGAGAGAGAGAGAGACAGAGAGAGAGAAAGAGAGAGAGTGAGAGAGAGAGTGAGAGAGTCCTAGGTCTGACTTCAGGGCAGCATTTACAAGCTAAGGATCACTCTGGTGCCCAGCCTTTCAGTCCCTATGTGCTCTTATTTGAATTTTTGTATATAGAGCACAGAGGTGTCAGTTAGAGTCCTGTACAATCTAAGCCCAGGAATCTGGGACTTTCCGAGATGAGGAAGTGGAGGTGCAGCTGCCCTGGAGCAGGGGTTTTCTGAGTGGATTGCTTGCTTTTATGTGGGCCTACATGTTAACATGTACATGGATACTGTGCACTGCCTATAAGTCAGAGGTGATGATCCAAACATATTGCTGTCTGTTTTAAATGTTAGAGTAAGTAAAATGTATTATTATTATTATTATCATCATCATCATCATCATCATCATCATCACTAGACTCATATATATTACTCAAGCCACAGTGTTAGAAAGCTCCGTTTTAGTTATATTGAAGAGCTTGCTCCACTGGGCATATATTCCCTGTGGACTTGACTTGAGCACTAGCTGAACTGTTTCATTTGGCTTTTCACTTTCCCTTAAACTGGGCTATTGGTTCATACTGTGGACAATCCAATTGACTGTCATGTAAATGAGAGCCAAAGGTTTGGCTTGGCTCTTTCTTTCCCAGTGTTCCCCCCCCCCACCCACCATTCTGGGGGAAACAAGATTTCTAGCCCCAAATACCTACATGTTGGGATTGCATGCAAAGATGGGCCTGGAGACCCAGTCTCTGAGTGCTGGATCAGGCAGACTTCCTTATGGAAAACCCCCTCATTTGCAGGCTGCATGGCACTTAAACCCTTTCAAACTATGAACAGACTTCAGGAAAGTTACATCAGTCCAAACAAAGACACATTGCTTAAGTTGTTATTATACACCCCATGACATTACCTACACATCTACACATTCACGCTATAATTATGTTTCCAATTTGACAAATGACATTGGCTCTCTGTGACAAATGACGTTGGCTCTGTGTAAGCAACTTCAGGAAAAGCTGGGTAAAGAGTTTAAGGGCTAGACAGCTTTTGGGACTGGGAAAGGTTTTCTTATGGCACTCATGTTTTGTCTAAAATTTGAATCTAAAACAGGGTGTCAAAACTGTCCCCAGGTGGTTGGGGTCCCACTTCAAAATGGAAGTGCTTTGCTGTGGAGAATATCGCTG